GACTACATACTAAGCTGAAATACTAAATACACACTGGATTTCCAAGACTTAGTACAAAAAAAAAAAAAAGAATGCAAGATATCTTACTATTAATTTTTAATGAGATAATTAATTTATCTCATTTATCAATCATATTGGTTATGTGTCGAGATGATAATATTTTGGATACCCTGTGTTAAATAAAGCATAATTAAAATTAGATTTTTAAAAATGTAGCTGCTAGAGAATTTAGAGTTACCTATGTGGCTTCCATTATTCATCTATTGGACAGTGCTGAACTAATATTTACAAAGTCCTTAGAACAGGGCCTGGCCCATGGAAAATACCTGTAAGCACTTGTTAAACAAAGCCTTCTCTTTGGAGGTGACTCATTACTTGTGGCATTTTAAAAATATGACTCTTCTATTTCTCAGACACTGGGAAAAGTTGGGAACACATGTCTTGCCTGGCCCTTGTTTTCTTTTTTAAAATATTTTATTTATTTATTTATTTATTTATTTATTTATTTATTTATTTATTTATTTATTTATTTATTTATTTATTTGAGAGGGGAAAAAACACACGAGCAGGGGGAGGGGCAGAGGGAAAGGGAGAAGCAGACTTTCCACTGAGCAGGGAACCTGCAGGCCTCCATCCCAGGACCTGAGCAGAAGACAGACACTTAACCAACTGAGCTACGCAGGCATCCTGGCCCTTCTTTTATCAAGCGGATTTCATTTTATATTCTCAAAGCATATAGTATATATACTGTGGTCTCATCTTTTCCAAATTGCTTCACAGTATTTCTTCCGTGTGGTTATAAACTCCCCATTAACCACATTAAGCACCGTGGCTTCCTGAAAAATTGTTCCCAATTTTCCTATTAACAATGCATGCATAACTTTAAGCTGAAAGATCTTTTCTGTTAGTTAGGATTAAAAAAATACACAAAAAAAAGATTTGAGAGAGAGAGAGAGCAGGGTGGAAGGGCAGAGGAAAAGGGAGAGAGAGTCCCAAGCAGACTCTGTGCTAAGGGGGGAGCCTGTCACAGGGCTGCACCACCTTGAGCTGAAACCAAGAGTCGGTCGCTAAACTGGCTGAGCCACTGGGTGCCCCTGTGTTATGATTTTTATTGGACAAAGTGGTCAGTATTGAAGGATCCTAATGAGGGGATCCCTGGGAGGCTCAGTGGTTTAGCACCTGCCTTCAGCCCAGGGTGTGGTCCTGGGGTCCTGAGATCGAGTCCCACATCGGGCTCCCTGCATGTAGCCTGCTTCTCCCTCTGCCTGTGTCTCTGCTTCTCTTTCTCTCTCTCTCTGTCTCTCATGAATAAATAAATAAAATCTTAAAAAAATAAACTTGTTTGAAGGATCCTAATGCATACTGTCAGGTAGTTTCTGACAAGGAAAGCTGAATCACTTTCCAGTCCTACCCCAATGTATATATGTCTCCATTTCACCAACTTCTACCTTTATTATCATATTATTTTAAAAGTTGTGTGTGGGAGGCACCTGGATGGCTCAGTTAGTTAAGCATCTGACTTCATCTCTGGTCATGATCCCAGGGTCCTGGGACCAAGTCCTGCACTGGACTCCCTGCTCAGTAAGGAGTCTGCTTCTCCCTCTACCCCTCCTCCTGGCTCATGCTCTCTCTCACTTTCTATCTCTCTCATAAATAAATAAATAAAAACTTTCAAAAAAGTGTATGTGGAAAAAAAAGTTGTGGGTGTATGTGCATGTGTGTGCGTTTGTATGTGGTTTGCTCTGTTTTGTTGCTGATTTGGCGGGAAAGGGGGAGGGTGTATATCTCATTGTTTGTATACTCATGTCTTTGATGACCTGGAGGTTGAGCATTTATTCACTAGATTATTTCCCCTGTGCATTTCCTCTTCTGATAATTAGTGTTTTGAGTCCTTTGTCCACTTCTTAGTGCCTCGGTATTTTACTTATTAATTTACATGCATTCTTTTTAAAAATATCTGTTTTCATACATTTTATTTATTTTTTTTACAAATTCACATTAGCAACTGCTGACTTAAATTTTTTTTTAAAAGATTTTATTTATTCACAAGAGGCACAGAGAGAGAGAGAGGCAGACACACAAGCAGAGAGAGAAGCAGGCTCCATGCAGGGAGCCTAATGTGAGACTCGATCCCAGGACTCCAGGATCATGCCCTGGGCTGAAGGCAGGCTCTAAACGGTTGAGCCACCCAGGGATCCCCTGATGACTTAATTTGTGTATCTTGTTTAACAATTTTTGTATTTTTATGTAGTCAAATCAATTGATTGTCCCCTTTGTGATTTCTGTCATTGCTTTCAAGCAAAGACATGCCCTTCCAGAAACATGGTGTCAATTTCACTTTCTTTTAGATTTTTACATTTATTTAAAAAAGATTTTATTTATTTGTTCATGAGAGACAAACAGAGAGGCAGAGACACCAGCAGAGAGAGAATCAGTCTCCCTCTGGGGAGCCTGACGTGGGACTCGATCCCAGGACCCTGGGATCATGATCTGAGCCAAAGGCAAACAGATGCTCAATCACTGAGAAACTCAGGAGCCCTACAATTTTTTTTACTTTTTATTTATTTATGATAGTCACACACACAGAGAGAGAGAGAGAGGCAGAGACACAGGCAGAGGGAGAAGCAGGCTCCATGCACCGGGAGCCTGACGTGGGATTCGATTCCGGGTCTCCAGGATCGCGCCCTGGGCCAAAGGCAGGCGCCAAACCGCTGCACCACCCAGGGATTCCCCCTAATTTTTTTTTAATTAAGATTTTAAATCCCTCTAGGGTAATGCTGTCCAAATGAAATACAATGCAAGTCACAAATGTGAGCCACATATGTAATTTTAAATTTCTGGTAGCCACATTTTTTAGAAAGTAAAAGGAATAGAACACAGAGGATTTTTAATAAAAATAATAGAACTATTCTGTATGATACCACAGTGGTGAATATATGTCATTGTATATTTGTCCAAATCCATAGAACCTGCCACCAGAAGTGAACTCTAATGTAAACTATGAGCCTTGGGTGATAATGACGTGTCAATGTAGGTTCATCAGTTGTAACAAATGTCCCACTCTGGTGGAGAATGTCCATAGAGGCTGTGTGTGTGGTGGGAGGAACAAGGTATGTGAGACACCCCTATACTTCCTGCTCAATTTTGCTATGATTCTAAAACTGCCTTTAGGGATGCCTGGGTGGCTCAGCGGTTGAGCACCTGCCTTCTGCCCAGGGCGGGATCCTGGAGCCCCGGGATCGAGTCCCACTTTGGGCTCCCTGCATGGAGCCTGCTTCTCTCTCTGGCTATGTCTCTGCCTCTCTCCCTCTCTCTCTGTGTGTGTCTCTCATGAATAAATAAATAAATAAAATATTTGAAAGAAAATAAAAAAATAAAACAGCCCTTAAAAATAAAGCTTATTCATTAAAAAAATTATAAAGCATAAAAAAGTAAAAAGAAACAGATGAAATCAATTTTAATAATATATCTTATTTTTCCCAATATATAAAAAATTGTTGCAACATGTAATCAATATAAGAAATTAATGAAATACTTCATTTGAGGAGTATTAAGTCTTGGAAAGTTGGCATGTATTTTACTCTTAGAGCACATCTGCATTCGTGCTAGTGACAAGCCACAGTTTCAATACTCAGCAGCCACATGTAGCTAGCTCATGGCCACCAGAGCTACAGCAAAGATCTAGAATTTGTTCAATTCAGAGGGAGGGCAGAGGGGGGAATGTTCTGATGGCCTGATTTACCTCCTCCTTCACTTTCACCTTCCACCTGCTGTCTCTTGAAAATTCCTGCCCTGCCAACCTGTGTTTTCTCACCTTCTCAGCGAACCCTGCCTGATTCCTGGATGTCATCCTGAACACCTGTGTCAGCCACCCACCACCCGGGGTCTCCTGAGCCTTCCACCACCCCACCGGGGCTTCCAGTGACTACTGTCCCCTCCCATGCCCTGGCCTTCAGGCTGTAGATTCTACCCAGGTGCTACCAGAGGGGCCATCCCAGAATTTCCACCTATGCAGCCCCTCCGTGTTCTGGTGAAGGCATCAATCATAGTAATTATTATGGAACAATAGTCCTCACATTGGGCAGCCCGTGGGGGGCACAGGGGTTTAGCGCTGCCTTCAGCCCAGGGCCTGATCCTGGAGACATGGGATCGAGTCCCACGTTGGGCTCCCGGTGCATGGAGCCTGCTTCTCCCTCTGCCTGTGTCTCTGCCTCTCTCTCTGTGTGGGTCTCTCATGAATAAATAATAAATAAAATCTTTAAAAAATAATCCTAACATTGCACACTTAACTGGAATGCCAGGCTAACCCATGGCGGATCATCTTATCTAGTCTTCTGACCATCTTGGAGCTGGAACCATTTTGCACATAAAGGCCTCCATCAGCTTGTGAGCACGGATAGGGCGCTCCTAGGCAATGGTCAAGGCCAGGGGAGGGAGGTTGGGGCCCCTCGAGCAGAAACTCCCGGACACCATCTAGAGGGTGGAGTCTGGTTTAGGAAGCCCCAGTTCCTTGGGCAGCCCGGGTGGCTCAGCGGTTTAGCACCTGCCTTCAACCCAGGACGTGATGATCGAGTCCCACGTCGGGCTCCCTGCATGTCTGCCTCTCGCTGTGTCTCTCATGAATAAATAAATAAAATCTTAAAAAAAAAAAAGTTTTAAAAGGAAGCCCCAGTTCCTCCAGTTTGCTGGGGAGAAGAGCTGGGTGTGCTCCCCAGAACCTGCCCGCAGGTCCTCAGGCCCGCCTCCCTTCCCCTCCACTCAGGACCCCGTCGGAGCCCCCGCACGAGGCGGCCTGGAGGTGGCGGCGCCTGCTGCCTCCCCCTCGAGTCCGCTCTCCGGGCTCCCTGCCTCGCGTGGGGCGCGCCCGGGCCACCGCCCGCCGGACACCTCGGGGTGGGGGGCGGGACGCGCGGGGCGGGCGCTCTCGGCTTGGGGCGGGGCCGACATCTGAGCCCCGCACAAAACCGCGCGGCGGCTGCGGGCCTGGCGGGCCGGCGGACTCCTGGCACCCCCGCCCCCGCCCGCGCCCGCGCCCGCGCCCCGCGCCCCGCGCCCCGCGCCCCGCGCCCCGCACCCGCGGAACCATGAGCGGCCGAGTCGGGGACCTGAGCCCCCCGCAGCAGGAGGCGCTGGCCAGGGTGAGCGGCTTCGGCCGGGAGGCTCGGGAGGGGGGGAGCTGCCTGGCGCTGCCCACCTGGGCTGGAGCCCCGGCGTTTGGATGGAAAAGGGGTCCTTGCGAGCCTCCTGTCCCGCTCACCCCCCTGCGCCCAGTGGCTGAGGCAGACGTGTATGGGACACTGGACTTGAACCCTTCCCTGGGCTGCCCTGGGGCCAAATCCCGCTTTCCCCTCCCGCCCTCTGCTGGCCCTTGTCCCCTGGTTTTGGGGGTAGGGTGGTGCTGCCGTCCCCGGCAGCCTTGGGCGCACCGCCCCGCAGATCTCCTGCCCGGATTGCAACATCTGTTTGTTTGGTTTCTCTTTGTGGCTTTCCGACTCCCCAGGGCGGAAGCCGTCTCCCCATCGCTGGTGTTTCCATTAAAGAGGAATGGAGGGGTTTGGGGGATTTCAAGGCAGTCCGTCAAGCTGCCGCTGAGAGTGCCACACCCTGGGGAAGGTGGACATATTCAGGTCTTAGGTGCCACAGCATTAATTTGATTAGGAGATGGCAGGGCCTGGAAACTGTGACTTTAGGTTAGGGGAGTGGGGTGACAGACCTGGCTTACACTTTGGGCCAAAGAAGGGCAGGTTTCGGACTTGGGGAGACAATGATTTCTTTTATGGCTCCCACCCTGGGGAGGATCCTCCAGGGAGGAATGAAGACCCCTGATGGAGGAGGACCCTGGATGAATTCTTGGTGAAGGAGAGAAAGGTCCCAGATGAAGAGTGTGTGTGTGTGTGTGTGTGTGTGTGTGTGTGTGTGTGTGTGTGTGAATTTCCAGGTAAAGGATGAGGTTCCAGGAGCAGAGAGTCTTGAGCTGAAGGAGGGGTCCTCAAGAGAAGCAGGAGGGGGAGTCCCCTGGTTAACCCTCTCCCTCCCCACTGGCAGAGGCCTCAGGGGGAGCCCTGACACTAGGCTCTTGGGAGGGGCTGGACACCTGGCCTTTGGGGGTGAATTATGATGGAAATGCTTGTGGGTCAAAGAGCTTTAAACAATGTAAAAAGAGCTTATTCTTATTTTTTTCCATTATTTAATAGAAATGAATGCTAGTTGTTTTAAAAATTAGGGAGAAAAAGGAAAGTAGGAAAAAGAAGTCACCCGTGGTCCCAGAGGTCTAGACAACCATGCCTAGGAGCATTTCCTTCTAAGTTTTTTACCTTAGCCTAGTTTTAACCACCATGGTTGGGCTGCCAGAGGCTGCTTTCTCCATTTGGCCTCATTGTTCTTTTTTGTTTGTTTTGATTTTTTTTTTAAAGATTCTATTTATTTATTCCCGAGACACACAGAGAGAGGCAGAGACAAAGGCAGAAGGAAGAGCAGGCTCCCTCAGGAGAGCCCAATGAGGGACTCAGTCCCAGGACCCTGGGATCACGACCTGAGCCAAAGGCAGATGCTCAACCACCAAGCCGCTCAGGTGCCCCAGTAGGGCCTCATTGTTAAGATATTTTTTCCATTAAGTTACTCCGGACCCTTCCCAGCACCTGCTTAGTGGCTTTATCTTTTACTTGACGTGCGTCCCAAGGGTGGGGTGGCTTTGAGACTGGAAGGTGTGGACTCCTCCTGGCCTTGTAGCTTTTTCACTTTGTCCATGGGGAAGACCCTCCAGCACCCCAGCCTCCCTTCCCACATCCACAAAGCAGGGATGTGACCCTTGCTTCTCCTGCCTCAGGGCACATCCCAGAGGTTCACAGGAGGAACTCTGGTAATCTGAAGGGGCTGAGCATGCAGAATTATTGTTTCTTGATTATTGTGACTCTCCGTCGCTCCCCCTAAAAACTTCCTCAACTGATCCTTGTGCCTGCTGGGACTGGGTGGGCGATGATGATAGCTGGTGCTCTCGCTCACCTTAGTTGTTGACACTGGAGATGTTTCATCTTTTTATTTGTTTTTCATTATGTGATCAATACATGAACGCATTCTTTTTTTTTAAAAGATTTTATTTATTTATTCATGAGAGACACACAGAGAGAGAGGCAGTGACACAGGCAGAGGGAGAAGCAGGCTCCCAGCAGGGAGCCTGATGCTGGACTCCATCCCAGGACCCCAGCATTGTGACCTGAGCCAAAAGCAGATGCTCAACCACTGAGTCACCTAGGCGACCCCACATTCTTATTTTAAACATCATCCATAAAGCTAAAGGAGGTTTGGTGGATGACTGTCAAGATAGCATCCTCTGGCTTTGCTAACAATGACTTCTAATCCTAAATTCTCATTCATAGTTTCCCACAAACCCACCCCTCCAGGGTTTGCCTTCTGCTCCCTTAGTCCCCATTGAAGTGGGGCCTCTTTTCTCCCCCAGAACTGAGCCCCAGACCCATATCTAAACTTTCAACAGCTTTCCCAAACTCTGCCAGTGGGCAGAGCCTGCGTCAGCAGTTCAGCCCCTCTCTCCCCAGTCTTGACAGGGCCTGATGCGGCATCCCTGGCTTCTCTTGCAGTTCCTCCCTGCTGACCTTTGCCTGGGGTTGTTTCCACAAAGACTCCACTGTCTGGAGCTCTGGGCAGTCCACATTTGCTGAGTGCCCACATTTTTCTGGCACCTGCTGCAAGCTAAGATTGATACTAAGTGTTTTACCTGTACACACTCCTTTGACTGGCACAAATTTATCTTTATCCCCACTACACAGATGAGGAAACTGAAGCTCAGAGTGGTTCAGTAACTTGCTTTCAAATCTAGACTCATAAGATCCAGTATCAAGGGCAAGGTTCCTAAATTGTTCTGGTTTGCCTGCATCAGATTCACCAGCGATCTTTGTAAAAATGAGGATGTCAGGGCCCCACCTCAGACCTATAGAATAAGGATCTTGGGGAGGCAGAGAACCCCCAAAGTTTGAGAAGGACCCAACTCTGGTTGCCGTGGTGGGGTGCTCCATTCCCAGTTGGCAAAAAGATCCAGGCAGCTGCTGCTAACTGTGTGATCCCCACTCTGCAGGGTCCCTGGGAAGGACTGACAGGCTGAGTTTAAGAAGGATCGGGGTGGGGTTGGGAGCCCAGGGGTCATGGGAGCACCACTGACCATTATATCTCCCCCTCAGTTCCGGGACAAACTCCAGGACCTGCTGCCCACCCTGCCCAATGCCGATGAGTACTTCCTCCTGCGCTGGCTCCGAGGTGAGGCTGGCAGGGTCAGGGAGGCAGAGAGGGAGAGAGGGAAGAAGAGTTTCAGGGAAGCTGGTGGGACTTTGGAATCTGAGCTCCCCTCCAAATCAGCAGGGCACAAAAAACCCATCGAGCCTCAATTTCTACATCTATAAAGTGGGGTGGGACCACCTCCCCAAGGACTGTTGTGAACGTTAAATGAGAGGGTGTAGTACCTGGCAGTGGGTGGGCACATGGTCGAGGTGAGCTTGGAGTTCACACCTGGGAAGGTCTCAGGGTGACTGGCCTGGCCAGGCCTTGAGTCAGATAGGCCTGAATATATTCTTCAGGACTTGCCTGTGGGTCTGTCTCCAATTCCTTGAAGGCAAGGCTGTATGGTCCCCTGAGGGAACCTGACCACCCAAGCAGGTGCCCAGCAAATACTTCAGGAAATGGATGCCATTAAAGGTAGACAAGGAGTTTCTTCCAGGAATTGCCACAATAGTGTAAAATTAGAATAACAGAAACCAAGGTGGGGGAAATTCATTCCAATTCAACACACCCCATGGTATGTTGTTGAACTTGAATCAGGACAGAAGTCAGAAGCCAGGCTGGGAAGTGCACACGCAGCTTCGGAATCTGGCAAACCTGTGATCGAATCTCAGCTCTGCTGTGTGCTAGCAGTGGGCCTATGGCGCTCACTCATTGACTCAGCCTCACTTTTCTCTTCTGGGTAATGGGTATAATACTCGTCCCCGACCTTCAAGATGCTGTGAGTCAGACATGAGGTCATGGATGTGCACAGCACCTACTCAGAGGAAGCCCTCCCTTCTGTTCTGTTCTGTTTGGTACATTTTTTAATTATTTCTTTTTATTTTTTTTATTTCTAAAATAAAGCATCATATTTTCAATTAAAGTGAATTTATTTCTTCAAAATAAGTAATCACAACAATAGTTAACCATTTACTGGGAAGTTCCTGGGAACCAGGTAATGTGCCAAGCATTTTTTTTTTAAGATTTTATTTATTTATTCATGAGAGACACAGAGAGATAGAGAGTCAGAGACACAGGCAGAGGGAGAAGCAGGCCCTACACAGGGAGCCCGACGTGGGACTCGATCTTGGGTCTCCAGGATCACGCCCTAGGCTATAGGCAGCGCTAAACCGCTGAGCCACCAGGGCTGCCCTGTGCCAAGCATTTTATATGCTTTTATCTCATGTCATCCTTTGAATAACTGAAAAAAAATATTTCTATTTAACAGATAAAACTAAAACTTAGAGAAGGTAGGTGAGTTGCTCAAAGTTGCACAGCAAATAAAAGGACAAAACTAGAATTCAAGTCCAAGTCTGTCTGACTCAAAGCCTATGCTCCTCACTACCCCTAATACCAATGGGGTCTGGGCTCCCATGGAGACATCAATATTACAGGCTAGATCAACCTCTGGTTTTAAAAGTTTATAAAGGCTTGGATACTGATATCAAGGGCCTCTAAAGGCTTCTAGAGGATTAAAAGTCCTTGCTTTTTAAAACATGCAGGGCACCTGAGTGGCTCAGTCGGCTGAGTGGCCAACTCTTGATTTCAGCTCAGGTCATGATCTCAGGGTCTTGAGATTGAGCCCCAAGTGGGGCTTCATGCTCATTAGGGAGTCTGCTTGAGATTCTCTCTCACTCTCCCTTTGCCCCTCCCCTTCTGTGTTCCCTCTCCTTCTCTCTCTTTGTCTCTCTAAAATAAATAAACATTTTTTCCCCTAAGGATTTTATTTATTTATTCATGAGAGACAGAGAGACAGAGAGAGAGAGAGAGAGAGAGGCAGAGACACAGACAGAGGGAGAAGCAGGCTCCATGCAGGGAGCCTGACATGGGACTCGATCCCGGGTGTCCAGGATCACATCCTGGGTTGAAGGCGGTGCTAAACCGCTGAGCCACTGGACTGCCCATAAGTAAACATTTTTTAAAAATAAAATAACAAAAAATGCCCAGAGCCCTAATGTGTCCTTGAGATGTCACAAAAGGCTCAGGTACTCCTGTATTTCTGTATGAGTTTTCAGAGAACTATGAGTTCTAGATCCGACCTCAAGCCTCCTCTCATCTTGGCTCCTTTTGCAGCTCGGAACTTTGACCTGCAGAAATCTGAGGATATGCTCCGGAAGGTGAGGCCCCATTCTCATGAGTGTCCTGCCTCCCACACACTGTATCCCAAGGATCAGTAACAAAGAGTGGGAACTCTTGCCCTGCCCTGTTCTTGTGTGTTTCCTCCATTCCCCCTTGGATCCCTTTCTACATCAGACCTGGGTCCACCATGGCCTTCCTCTTGGCATTGCCATCCGCAGTTCTATGTCAGAGTCTGGGGATGCTTTGGTAAGGTCTTAGGGGCTGCAGGCAGAGGGACCCGACCTGATGCCCCCAGATGCCTTCAAAGTCTTTGTGGTAAGCAGTCTTCAGGTCCTGACATTTCTCCACAGCACATGGAGTTCCGGAAGCAACAGGACCTAGACAACATCCTCACATGGCAGCCCTCGGAGGTGAGCCCCATGCAGCATCTCCCCAGACCATCAGATGCCCCTCACACTCCCCCACATCCAGCCATCTAATGGAGCGGGGACATGGCCTAATAGGCTGGTTTGAGTCAGGATCTCACCCCCCACCACTCCCCATCCCCAGGTGATCCAGCTGTACGACTCTGGTGGTCTGACCGGCTATGACTATGAAGGTTGCCCCGTGTGGTTTGACATCATTGGGACCCTTGACCCCAAGGGTCTTCTCCTGTCAGCCTCCAAGCAGGAGCTGATCCGGAAGCGCATCAGGGTCTGTGAGCTGCTTTTGAGGGAGTGTGAGCTGCAGAGTCAGAAGGTAAGTGACTGGGTCCAGAATGGGAAGTACACGGTGGGCCCAATCTGTCTAAAGGGTGGCACCAGGACCAGGTAGGAAAGGCATGCTGCCTCTGCTTCTCCCCAGGCCTCAGCATTCTGGGCTTTGATGGGACATGGCTTCTTTTGCGGTCACCCATCTGTGAGCATCTAACATGCCCATGGTACTCTCTGCTGGCAAGTGCCAAGGGTCACCAAAGCCCTTTCCCCTCTGATCTTGGGTGAGTTGTTGACCTTGGGTGCAGTGAGTACTCTAGCTCTGTTCTCCGGGAACCCTGGGAACAGTGGATGGTCAGCTTTGCTTATGGAAAAGATGTCCCCAGTTGTAAACTGCATAACTCTAACACCTAACAGGGGAGCCATTGCTTTGTGCATCCCTGAGAGCAGTGACTCTGAAAACTTGGCACATCCGTCATGGGTCCCTAGAAGCTAATATGGAATTGCTACTATATACATATATATATATATATATATATATATATATATATATATATATATTGAGTCCTGTGGGGCATAGGGTTTTTAAGCCAGGAAGGACCCACACCCACCTGTACAGATCTTCTTTTTGCTCTAGCTCTATTTCCTGGTCCATACCCTACAGAATGAATCTAATGCCAAATGTGGTCTGTTAGTTTTGTGAGTTTAAGTGTCCACATGAGCCTAAGAAGACACCTGGGTGGGGAGTTCTTATGTCACTTTGGGATGACCTGCCTAATGGCGAGGACAGGGCCTGTGTCCTCAGTGTCTGTCATGGAGCTGGACACCAGGTAGACCCTCCCGGCAAAGATTTGTGGCAAACATGAGAGACTTGTAAACACCCTATTCAGTGCCTGGTTTGAATAGATGTGTATCTCTCGAACAAGATGGCTGATTTTATGGGGTCACAGCAGTGTCTTCTACTTCATGGACGTTTCCAATCAGAGCTGATAATTGTGTGATGACAATACTAGTAATAACGTCTGCTGATATTTATCAGGGACCAGCATGTATCAGGCACTGGGATTTTTGTAAATTATCTTACTGAATCCTCCCGGAAACTATCAGAACCTGGAATTATACTCATTTCACGGAGGGAGAAAATAAGGCTCAGAGGAGTTAAAAACCCACCCAAGGCCACACAGCCTGCTAGCTGTGTAGCTGTGGCTTGACACACCCTGGGACTGTAGACACCAGCTGATACAGTATACTGTTGTACAGAGAGATGCCCAATGAGCAATGAGTGAGGTCTTTAACTCTATAGTTAACTAATTCTGGGAAATGGTGTTGAGCAAACACTGTGATAAGGGGCCACTGTGCCGGGGCTCAGAGGCAGCATCTTCTTAGACCCTAGGTGGGCTCTGTCTGTTTGGAAAACCCTGGGCAGTTGGGGGCAGGGGTGGCAGGAAGGTGGGAGCAGTGCAGGTTTCCCTGGCTGGGACCTCCTGCCCAGAGTTGTTGTCTGACCTATAGACTTGTGCTGTCTCATGTAGCTGGGCAAGAAGATTGAGACGGTGCTGATGGTGTTTGACATGGAGGGGCTCAGTCTGAAACACCTGTGGAAGCCAGCTGTAGAGATCTACCAGCAGGTGAGGTAGGCAGCTGGCTCGAGGCCAATAGGTAGCCACTGCCCACACCAGCTCCCAGTCCATGGAGGAGGGGTCACCCCCTACCGGCCCCTAGAGCAGCCAGTGAAGCTGGCCTGGGATCCCCCCTCCAAGGAAAAAGAGGAGCAAGAGTATTCCAGAGGATGAAGTCCATCTCATGGGGAAGATGTATGGCCAGGGGGTGGGGGTGGTAGGGGCTCTTGTCTCAGCAGCATTGAAGCCACCAAATCCCCGCATAGAATGTGTTGGAGCAGGATCTTGACCAGATTCATCTTGCCACAGTTTTTTGCCATCCTGGAAGCAAATTATCCTGAGACGCTGAAGAATTTAATTGTCATTCGAGGTGAGCCCATGATGGGGATGACCCCTTGAGGGAGGAGGAATGGGAATGGGGGGAACAGTGGGTAAATCACCCAGTTCAGGGCTTCTCAAACCATCCTTGGTGTCAGATAAGTTATAAGTTTCTAAATGTATACTGTTATTGTCTTTATTTTTCTTGGTGTGGAATGGTAACGGCTAGTTCATGGGCCACACTGGTTGAGAGACATGCTTTGAGTGGGAATGGTCCCCGTTGGTGATGGTTGTATAGTGAGGGGGCCACCGTGTGTGCTCTAGGATCAAATGATCTGCTTTCCAATCTAGCTAGCTCGGCAATTTTGAACAAGTCTACTTAACCTTACTAAGCCGCAGTTCTCCCAATCTGTAAAATAAGGATACTCTGACACCTTTCCTATGACAGCTGTGAGGTTAAATGAGACAGTCTTTGGAGGAGTAGCACAGAGGCTGGCCAGTCAGTGTGAGCAGTTCAGGTGGGACATGAGGTCTAATGCCCTGTCTCCTTGCACCCAAGAAAATTCCAAGACAACTTGGGAAAACTCTGAGTGGGGACAGGAGGCACCACTGGGAAATCCACATTACTGACACCCTACAACGGTGTGGGGGGGCAGCCATTTATTGAGAGCCAGGCACTGTGCCAAGTGTTCTGCATACATAGTTTAATTTATCTCCCTTTTATAGTTAACAGCACTAAGCCTCAGAGAGGGTGGGTAACTAGCTGAAGGTCACACAGCCGCAAATGGCAGAATCTAGAACTGTCCAACTCCTATCCAGTCCAGGGCTCCTGGCCGTGACCGTATGCCAGGTCCTCTCTAGCCCAGCTTCCCAAAGAAGTTTCATGTGTTTCAGCCCCCAAGCTGTTCCCTGTGGCCTTCAACTTGGTCAAGTTTTTCATGAGTGAGGAAACACAAAGGAAGATAGTGATTCTGGGAGGTGAGTGACTTGGCCTCCTAGCTATGCCCATCGTGGCCTGGGCAAGCAGAGGTCGAGGTGAAAGCCCCCATTTCTCCCTGGCTTATCCTCTTTACCCACACACTGACCTTGGCCTTAACCCTCGCTGGCCTTTGCACACTCAGATGGTGCTTCAGACCCTAGGCCCCAGCCTGGGTGGCCACATAAAGCATTTGGGTGCTTCAGGAGTAAGTGCTCAGGGGAGCAAGCCAAGGACATATCAAGTTTTCCTCCCTGGGCTTTGCTTCTCTGCCCTCTTTTGAGCATCCCTGAGCCCCCACAGAACCCCCCCTCAACCAGTCCCCCCGACCCACGCCACCTTGCTTCCACAGGCAACTGGAAGCAGGAGCTGCTAAGGTTCATCAGCCCTGAGCAGCTGCCCGTGGAGTTTGGAGGGACCATGACTGACCCTGATGGCAACCCTAAGTGCCTGACCAAGGTATAGGGTGCCCAGAGGATGTGGATGAGGATGAGGCAGGACGGGTGTTGGCCATGGTCTAGTGATCGCTCACCAGCCCTCACCCACAGATCAAATACGGGGGCATTGTGCCCAAGAGCTACTACCTGCGCAACCAGGTGAAGACACACTATGAGCACACGGTGACGGTGGCCCGAGGCTCCTTCGTGCAGGTGGAGAACGAAATCCTGTTCCCGGGCTGTGTGCTTAGGTAGGAATGGCAGCCACTCCACACCTGGGCGCAGCTGGGAGGGGCCCAGAGCCCAGGCAGGTGGTCGTTATTGGGGCCCTCTGTCCATGCAGGTGGCAGTTCGCGTCAGATGGGGCAGATATCGGCTTCGGGGTTTTCCTGAAGACCAAGACAAGCGAGCGGGAGTGGGCAGGGGAGATGGTGGAGGTGCTGCCCATCCAGCGCTACAAAGCTCACGTGGTACCTGAGGACGGGAGCCTCACCTGCCTCAACACCGGCGTCTGTGAGAGCTGTGGGATTCACTGGAGTCGTTTTCCTCCTTATGGCAGAGAAATGAACTGATACCCCTTGCCAGGCTGTCCTGTGTGCCCTCAATTTCCAGCTCTCAGGGAGGGGTGGGGGTCTCCGCAAGCTACTAGGTCCTGTGGTTGCCAGGGGCATTGGCTTCACAGCCTTCGATCTGGTGAGTGACCCCTGGGTACAAGGGCAGATATGCATGTTAGAGATTGGGATTCACAGCCTGAGGCCGCTCACTCCCTGGAAGCCCTTCCTCAACAGGCTAAGAGACAGGTAAATAAAGTCATGGACTAATCTTCAGGGGTCCTAGCCTGCCCAGGAGCATGGGCAGTCCCACTGTGCAAATCCCAAAGAGTTGCTTCTTCCATGCGTTTATCCTTCATTCTCAAGCCACCCAAGCCAGATGCAGTCTGGTCCGTCTTACGGGAAGCCGTGTTCCCCAGGAACAGCATTGACCTCCCGCTTCTGTAGGGAACAGAGCTAGGAAGGGGACTCAAGGTTGAGGAGCATGAGCTTTACTAACGCTTTGGTTAATACATATCCAGTTCACCCCTGTGGAAAGGGAGAATTCGAAGGGTGGAGACTGAGGAATCTGGGTAACTCATCACATCCCAGAATTCACTTTGCACCTTGTCACTGAAGGGAATGCCTTCTTTAAAAGGCATGATGGAAAAGTGGCTTAGAGAGCTCAGCCCTCTCCTCTGGGGAAAGCAGGGCTTCCCTCTCGGTTGGAATCTCAGGATAAGGGAATCCTAATCTCTCCCTTCCCTCGTTCTGTACTCATCGGAAAGTCCTCTTGACCTCTGTAGGCCGCAGCATCCCCATCCTTAAAATGGGGATGATAGCACCTGCTGTGGAGCTGCTATGGGGATTCGGAAAGCTGGAAGCACCCATGTGATGCCTGGCAAAGAAAAGGGGCTGGCGCATGCAGGGGGTTAGGGATGCACGAGGTGCACAAGGAGATGGCCCGAGCAGTGGGCTCTGCAGGTGGTGCAGTGGCTGACCCTCCAGCACTGCCCACGGTCCTGGGCCCATTCCCCAGGGCACCGGGTTGCAGATATGTCAGCCTTGCTTTGCCTGACGACTTCTCCACCCTTGCAGATGTCCTGCGTTTTGACAACACCTACAGCCTGATGCACACCAAGAAGGTCAGCTACACTGTGGACGTGCTGCTCCCAGACAAGGCCTCTGAGGAGAAGATTCAAGGTCTCGAGGCAGGGAGACCACCCCCAGCGCAGTGAAGACCCTGGCTGCCTCTGTGCCTGTGCTCTTCAACCCCTCAGCACCCCCTCCCTGTCCCCTGCCCGCCTGGGTGGGGTGGTGTTTGGAGGAGCCACCCCCTACTCCCACCCCCACCTCCCCATCTCACCTGCTTGTGGCCCACCTGGCACAGTGGCAGAGCAGGAAGGGGACATCCAGGCCATAGGCCACACTCAGGATTCACACAGGAGACCCAATCTCCCATTCACAGAGACTGAGCTTGAGGACATTGGGGATGAACCAGGGGCCGCCAAGAAAGTGTCCTGCCCACAGGAGCTGCCCTTCTGTCACTCCTGGAAAGGCCTACCAGTGCCAGGACTCACCCATAGCTAGTGATCTTGCTTGGAGCCGTGTGCATGAACCCCAGGCCATGCAGGGAGCAGAGCATCAAGTCTGAAGAACAGGGAAGCCCCGCTGTCTGCAATCGGGGCTCAGCAGGGATGGACAGGGCCAGCTGGAGGTGACCAGGTGGAGGGATGGGGCCAGCTGGGTGGTGGAGCTTGTAGTTTTGGTTCTGGGAGGGCACCAAGGCTTTTTGGAGTTGTCCTCTTGCCTTTGGAAGGAAGATGAGAAATGGAGCATGAGGCCCAGCAGGGCTGGCCATCGGGAGGAAAAGCCACGCTCAGTCACACAGAGCTAAATGGGTGAAGGCTGAATCTCTCAGAATTCTCAGTGACCCCGGCCTTCCCCTCCCCACCTGCTGTGATCCAGCTGACATTCAGCTTGGGTTCCTTCTGGCTAAGGACCATGACTATAGCAGAGCTGGAGAGAAGTGGAACCTACTGGAATAAAGTAGAATGTGCTGGGGTGGAGCTGTCATCCCAGGGGCTTATTGGAGACTCTGATTTACTTCTTGGAGAATTGTCAAGTTTTTCTTCTGTCTGCCAACTCCCCACCACCCCACCCCAAATGAAGCTCAGTAGCTGGCCAGTGATGGCTCCTGTTTCCCAAAGGCTGGCTCTCCTGGTGCCCACAGCCCACAGTCAGGACCGCCGTCTCCTCTGCTGGGTGAACTGCACCCAACAGAGCAGACCTGACCCAGAATGAGTCAGTGAAGCTGCTGAGTGGTCAGATGTCCCCTGTTAAAAGGGGTCCTTGGTGCAAAGCATTAGCATCCTGGCTGCAAAGACCCTTCCCAGAGGCTAGAAGCCTCAGCAAACATCAACACTCGGGGGCTTTGCAAACAAAAAGCCGGCTTGGGCTCCTTTCTTGCTCTCGGATTCTGTGATTTCATTTTTTCCATTTAATAGATTTCCTGATTTCCCAGGGCCTGTTCTTCCCAGGCAAGAAAATGAGGAGGCTTGGGAAGGTGGAGGTCTTCAGGTGAGCTACGTGAAGTCCCTGGGGCCCCAGGCCTTCCACCTGTGGCAGCTGCATCACCCATGGTTCAGCACGCAGTCTGAACAGGGGCTCTGCTGCTATAGAAAGCAAACTAAAGGAAACAATTGAAGTCAGTGCACTGAGGCATTGCTGGCCCAACAGTGTTGGAGGGGTTTGGCAAGAAAAAAACCCTGCCATGTCCATGCCAAGTAGACAGCCCAGGGCTGTCAGGGAAAAAGCACAAGATGTTCTTGTGTCCAAGGGCAGCTCCTGCATCCCTGCTGCAACAGGCTCTCCCACCACCCCCCACTGCACTGGGGGCCACCCTCTGTGCAGCCTCTCCAGGTGCAGAGGCACTTGGGAGGTCCAGAGCCACCCACCTTCCCTGTAGGCTATAGAGAGCATGGCCGGCTGGTGTATAAGGGCCCCACATCAGGTTTCTCTGGGTCCACCTGTTGTCCTGATGGGTGAGGAGGAGGAGCTCACAAGGCTTCACTTCAGCCTCATATCCCCGGCCTAAAAACAAAGGATTCATAAACAAGGGGTTCATGGATTTAAACCTGGATTCTTGCCTTTCCAACCACCCACAGCCAATTTCCCACCATCAGCACAGCCTCATCTGGGTGATTGGTCGCACCATGCACAAGGGTGTAATTTGCACAAATATGGACTGCCCAGGGAGTGGCAGGTAAAGGACTGAGGGATCCAGCAGGGGCACCGGTGACTCTGAATCCCAGAGCCAGCAGAATGCACCGCATGTGAAGCAGTGAGTGCAGTGGTCACCCTCAGAAGTGAGGGAAGGATCTCCTGTCTGGCAAGGTGGACAGGGGACATGTCCTCAGCAACTCCATCCCTGACTCAACACCATCACTTCTTTACAAAAAAAAAAAAGGAAGTAGCCCAGAGAGGGGCTGGTTCACCTGAAGTTTGTTTCTTCCTTCATCATCAATATTTATTGAGTGCCGGGCACCAGGCACTGGAGGCCCTGGGGATGCTGGGGGTGCTGGGCTCCCCAAATCCACTAGCAGGAAGCTTGCCTGTACTGAGGGAGGCTGAAGTGATTCTGATGGCCATTATCAAGTGGGTGGCTCAGTGGGGCAGGAGCCAAATTCTGGGGGAGAATTCAGCAAAAACCCCCAAAAAACCCCAAACCCAACCTCATGGGGGATCAGATGTGCTTTGCCTAAGGCAGGGATCCCCGAGGGAAGAGCTGAAGGCATGGGCAAGACTTCCAGACTGAAAAATGGAGTGAGGGCAGCTGTGAGTGTCTGAAGCCAGAGGAAAGCCAGAAGGGCCCTTAGGTGATGCTGGTAATGGGTCACTAATGTTTGCTATTTCTTTGCGAACGACTGTGTACACATTAGGTAGTTATCAATAAAACCATTTCATAACAGAGATTACAAAACAGAATTGTTTGTCAGGAAGAAATGGTAAAATCTTGGCAGGAAGCCAGGGATGAAAATTCTTGCTCGAAGTGAGGTAATTGGAAATAGCCAGGCTTCACCTGTCTAGAGGAGTGGAGGCAGGGCCTGGCCTTCCCAGGGCCTATTTCCTAACTGGAAAGCCCCACAATCTTCCAGGGGAAGCAGGGAAATAAGCAAGGGGATACTACCTTAGGGTTTTTTTTTTTTTTGAGGGCAGATAGAAAGGCTCCCCTGGCTCCCAAATCTCTACCTCAGTTAAGCAGGCCTTCCAAGAGCCCAGGCCAGAAGGGATACCACTGTGGGACCATCATAGCTGCCTAGAGCAAATCTTCACCAGGGCTCCAGGGCATGGCACTCCACAGTTTGTACAGCACTTACATGCAACTCTGGAGCAGAAGGGATTCGGTGGGAGGGAGTGCCTTGGTCAAGGGTTTAGTGTCTAATGGCAGGGGATGGGGCCAGCACCGAGGTTAGCTGCCAGCAGTGCCCCTGCCCTGACTTTCAGGGGAGGAGAGGGTCAATGTGGGGAGGTGGGCCCCTGCCAGTGAGGGCCAGCCTGGGGCAGATGGCACAGAGTGGCACTGGTCAGAGTCTGGGGAGGCTGCCTCTCTGTGGGATGGGATAGGGCCAGCTGCATTCCCTGCCTACCAGGTGCCAGGCCCACGCTGATGCAGAAAGCATCATCCCATTTACTGATGAGAGCGAGGCCCAGGGAAGTGACTTGTCATGTCACACAATATAAAAGAGGGGGCGGTAAGACAGCCAGGTGTTAAAGGAGCATGTTGGGTGGGCTGGCTTCATGCTTGGTGACTTCACAGAGGAGGTGGCTGCAACAGGTTTGAGCAAAGTGGCTCTCAGCTGACATTGGAGACCTCTGCTTTTAGCCACCAGAGGGCAGTGTTGGGACAACTGCACCTCTCTCTGCGGGTGGTGGGTGGGAGGCAGTGTGAACTGGGCCCCTCAGCATCTCCCTCACCCCCGAAGGGGGGTTTTACAGGTGGGTTGAGGAGCAGTACACTGGGCCCAGGCTGTCTGTGGGTCCACTGGGAGCAGCAGAAAGAAGTGGTCCCACCTGGGTTCAGATCCTGGTTCTGCAACTTGCTGGTTTTCTTTCCAAATCCCTGTGGACTCCCATCTTCCGTCCTGTGGCTGTTACCTTAGTCAGGGCCTCCATCATCCCTGGCTTGGATTATTAGAAAGGAGCGCATGAGTCAGTCTCCTGGTGCCCATTCCTACCCCATCCCCTGAGATTCCACAGGGCAGCCAGAAAAAAATCTTTCTGAAATGAAAATTCTGATCAATCCTTCCTATGTGCATCCTTCACTGGCTCCCCTGTGACTTGGCTATGACACCCTCGTTGCAGCCTCACCCAATACCACCAATTCATCAGATTCCTTCCTGCCTCCATGCTTTTATTCATGCTGTGTCCTCAGGCTAGGACCCCCTTCCCAGTCTTGTTCTGTGTACCCTGGAGCCTTCAGGCTCCCAGAGCCCTCTTTTCCCAGCCAGCCCTGCTCCCACTCCCTGACGTCCCTAGCAGAGTTAGAGTCTCATCTCCATGCTCTTGGAGCAACAGGGGTGCTTATAATGCAGGAGAGTCATCATCTGTCTCCTATTCCCCACTAACCACTGGCCCAGGCTACACTCTCCAAATGTTCAATAAAGCCTTGCAAAAATAATAGATACCATTTACTGAGAACCTACGTAGGCCTGCTGATCTTGTGCTATCTTGTTTAATCATCATGGCAGCCTTGTCAAGTAAATATAGTCATCCTGGTTATATGGGGAGGGCGGTGAGTAAGGCTCAGAGATGCAGTTGTTTGCTCAGTGATGGCGCCAAGACTGGAATTCAGGATGTTTGATTCCAGGGCAACATCTCCCTCACCCATCCACACCGCCCCCCCAGAGGTTGGGTCATACTAGGAGCACTGCCAAAAAGCAGAGCCTAACAGCATGACTCAGCACCAGGGACAGACCCCAATAGAGGTTTGGACAGCCACAGAATAGAGAAGGAACCAGAAAGGATGGGCTCACCTAGCTGTGCCTTCATCCTAGAGTTGATGGTAGGCTGCATGGCCAGCCTGACAATAACTATAAAAGCAAACACTATTAGGGTGCCTGACTGGCTCAGTCAGAATAGCATGTGACTCTTGATCTCGGGGTTGTGCACTCAAGGTGCACATTGGGTGTAGAGATTACTAAAAAAAAAAAAAAGTAAATAAACTTAAAAAAATTTAAAGCCAACACTATTGGCTACTTATTGTGTACCAGACAATGGGTGGCTACTGGCTTCTAACCATCTCAGTAGCCTTATAAGAGGAGGATGTTATTAGCCCTAATTTACAGGCGAGAAAACTGAGACTTAAAATCACACAGAACATTAAAGGTGAAGCCAGGATTCAAACCCAAGCACCCAGGCCTATGCTTCAGCACCATACATTTCTGAAATATTTGGGGATTGTTTGCTCAGTGTTGGGAGAGGAATTACAGCTGCTTGGGTGGTCTGTTTATGGTCACTCCAGATTCAGCCTCCCCCAGAGTAGTCTTGGGCACTCCAGTTTTCCCAAAGATGGCAATAAAAGCAGAGTCCAGTTTGGCATGAAGAACTTGGAACACTCAATGCCCTTACGGTGCCCCAGGTATTGTGAGAGGGGATATGCCAGCTCCTCCCCCAGAAAGTATATAAGCTCCCCCACTTTGAGCCTCCTTCACTCTCTTCCCCATGTTCCTATCACCATAGCCTTCCATCCCTATGATAAGCAGCATATGAGAGAAAGAAGGGAAGAGCCTAGGAACTTGACCAACAGCTTTGTCACCAACTCAGAGTTCTTTGGGGTCTCCTCCAGCAAGAGTTTTGACTTCTTGGTGGCTCTTAGTACTCCATGGCACAGACATTAGAGGCAATAGTACCATCACCATCATCATCATCATCAACATACTTAATTTTATTTTTTGATCACAAAGGGACATGAAACAATGGAGAATATACACCAGAAAAAGAATTACCGATTTCAGCTGGGTTTCTGGATATAAGAGTAATATACGAAAATCAGTTGCATTTTTATACATTAACAAGGAACATTCGAAAAACAAAATTAAGAAAATAATTTCATTTACATCAGCATCCAAAAGTAAAGTACTCAGGTTTAACCTTAGCTAAAGAAATACAAGATTTGGGAACCCTGGGTGGCGCAGCGGTTTGGCGCCTGCCTTTGGCCCAGGGCGCGATCCTGGAGACCCGGGATCGAGTCCCACGTTGGGCTCCTGGTGCATGGAGCCTGCTTCTCCCTCTGCCTGTGTCTCTGACTCTCTCTCTAGCTCTCTCTCTGTGTGACTATCATAAATAAAAAAAATTTTAAAAAAAGAAATACAAGATTTGTACACTGAAAACCACAAACTATTGTTAAAGGAAAGACTACATGTGAAAAGACATCTATGTTTGTGTTTCAGAAGATTTAATACTATTGAGATGGCAATACTCCCTAAAGTGATCCACAGATTCAGTAATCCCTACCGAAATCCCAACTGCCCTTTTTGCAAAAATGGACAAGCTGATCCCAAAGTTCATGTGGAAATGCAAAGGACTCAGAGTAGGCTAAATAAACAATCTTGGAAAAGTAGAATGGAGTTAAGGAGGATTTGTACTTCCTGATTTCAAATTTTAACATAAATTGCAGTAGTCAAAACAGCGCGGTCCTGGCATAATATAGACATACAGATCAATGGAATAGAATGGAGAATAGATGTGAAATCCACACACTATGGTCAAGTGACTTTTGACATGTGTGCAAAGGCCTTTCAATGGGAAAAAAATAATCTTTTCAACAAATACTGCTGGGACAATTCTACTACAACATGGATGAGCCTTAAAAACATTACATTAGGTGAAAGAAGCCAGTCACAAAAGACTATATGATTCTCTTCATATGAAATATCTGGATGGAATATCCAGAGCAGGGAAATCTATAGAGATAGAAAGGAGATTTGTAGTTGCCAGAGGCTTAAGTAGGGCCCGGGAAACAGAACGGCTGCTAATGGGTACAGGGGTTGGTTTTTGGGGGGTGATGAAAATGTTCTATAATTAGTGGTGATAGTTGCACAAACTTGTGAATATGTTAAAGATCACTGAATTGTACACTTTAAGGATGGTGAATTTACAATATGTGACTTATAACACAATTTTTAAAAATTTATGATGGCGACAAAAATACTTAAGAGTAAAGATGGAAAGTAGATTGTTTCAGGATGCTACCAAGAGCATCATTACAACTCTGGTGGGGCACCCCCAAATCCTCTTCCATCTCCTGTTTTCAAGTCATCCCCACCTCACCTTATAGCCATCTGAACCCTCCCCGCTTGCCTCTTCCCACTAATGCTCACCCCACTCATCCTGTGGAAAGGCTTCTCCTGGGCCCCCTCTGTACTGGCCCAACTGATTCTGGCATGACCCATCTAGGGGAAGGTGAGACAGGAATGTGACTGTGCTGAGGCCCAAGAGGGTTGAGGGGCAGCCTTTTCACACTTCCTAGTAACTACCTAGGAGGAGTGGCAGGGTGTGGCATGTGTGGCCCTGTCTGCCCCCTGCCGTTGTTTGCTTCTGGGGTTGTTGCCATGGTCCTCTGAAAGTTTGGCAAACTAATAGCTAAACACAATCTGGGGATATACGAGGAGATATATCCTGTGAATAGGGGTTGGGGGTTCTTCTTTGCCAGGGCCTTTGTTTCAAAGGAGGGAAATCACTTCTGCTGGCCTCAAGACACTCCACAGCCCAAGGGTTGTGGACCCAGACTTCCTAATACATGATTACGATTTAGACCATCTATTGAGCACTTACTATGTTCCAGGCACAATGTTAAACCTTCCAAGGGAAGGCAGGGCTGGGCTGTGGTTCTGGTGCAGGTTCCAGAATCAGACAGGCTTGGGTTCAAATCGTCACTCCCCATTTCCTGGCTGTGTTACCTCAGAAAATTTTCTTACTTCTCTGATCTTCCATTTCTTTGTAAAATGTGGATACCTTTACCTGTTTTCAAATAGTCTGATAATGATGTACTGCTCTCAATACAGAGGAAATGCTCCACAAATGGGAAACTGAGTTCCCCAGGCAGAGACCTAATCCATCTGGTTTACTGCAATATCCCCAGCATTCCCCTCCACATGCTCTTCACTTTCCTACCTCCATACCTTTGCCCATGCACTTTCCTTCCATCTGGGGATGCTCTTTCCTCTACTCCAATCCCCACTATCTACATCCTTCCTTTCTTAAAAGTCTGGCTCAAGTGCTGCCTGCATCCCATGGGAGTAACTTCTGTGCCTGGATCCTCTCCCTGGTTAGGATGGAAGCTCTTGGAGCCGAGACTGTGGGATAGTGCAACAGCAGAGTGCTTAATTGCATGGGCTTAACTCTGGCTAAGTTACTTAACTTCTTTATACCTCAGTTTGCTTGTCTGTAAAACAGGCTCAACAATCGTATCTACCCCTAGGGGTGTTCTGAGGTTTAAATGAGGTAATGCACTTAGTATGGGACTTGACATGGAATAAACTTCCAATAAGTGTAATAAACTTGCACTGTCCAATATGGTAGCCACAGACCACCTGGAGTGATTTAAAGTAAAATAAATCAAAATTAATCAAAATTGAATTAATTCAACTCACACTTGAATTCCTCAGTCTCACTAGCCATTTTCCTATGTGACTAGTGGCTACCAAATATGTCCAATTGGATAGCCCGGATGTGAAACATTTCCATCTTTGCAGAAAGTTCTGTTGGATGACACTATAAATGATGATGCTGTGTGCACAACAGGCACTCTTCCTGGCTCTCCCTGCCCAGCCTCTGATGTCCCTAGAAAAAACTGGGGCACCTCACATGACAGGGATGGGGGAGAGAAAGGAGACTGGTGGGAAATAGGTAGGATTAGGGGCTAATGAGCGGGCAGTGAAGGAACTCAATCTCCACTTGCTCCTGGCCTGGCAGGAAGTAGGTGTTGACAGCAGCCTGTGGCTTTGCAGAAAGAGGCTGGAATGTGAAGTGGGGCGGGGTTGAGGTGTGGAGTTACCTAACTGCTCCTGAGTGAGCCTGCCAGGTGCCTCAGATGAGGGAGATGGCTAAAGATGCACCCCTTCTCCCTCTGGGCCAGATTCAATCAGGCCCAGAGCAAGGAAGGTGTCCAGCACTAAGCGATGCCAGCTAGCTTAAAAAAGTTCTGAGATTGCCCAGGGATGGGGATGCAGGATGCCTATAGATAGAGAACCTGGGAGAGCCTTGGGCAGGGTGGCTTGAGCTAGGCCATGGGTCGTTTCAGCCGACGTGGATCCTCTCGCCTTCCTGACCTGGAAGACATGGTCACAGGGATGTGCTATGCTCTCAAGCAGATGTGTTCCTGGTTTCTTTATAGACAGTCATTGGTAATGTGGCCTCTGCTGTCTTGGAGCTTCTGACAGTTGGACAAGAATAATCCCTTAGATGCTATGACCCTGGATAGTCTGTATACCTCCTTAGATCTTCCCTCCAACTTCATAAGGACAAGGCAAGCATCGATAGCCCCATTCCATAAACAAGGCAAGTGACACTCAGAGATGTCCTCTTGACAGGAGCTTCTCATAGGGGATTGGGGAGCAAGGGCCAGGCCTCGCCAGCAGGTCTAACAGTGAAATATCAGGCACCACGACAGAAATCAAAGGACAGGGAAATATTCTGGGCTTCCTTCATCACTTGGCGTACTTGGTGGACACTTCTCACTGATCAAGTGTTTAAAATTCCAAGAAACATCCCCACTGCCCCAAGACCATCAATATGCCCTACCTCTCCCTTAGGGCCCAGGGAATGTGGGATCCCAGACAAGGACCCTCATGTCCTCATGATCTCAGCAATGGGAAAGCAGGCAACAGGGTGGGGAGTGCTTAGCCCTTTCCCATGTTGAAGGAACAGGGCCAGCATTGCATGATAGGACTTGAAAGACACCAGAAAGAATAGTGTCAGTGCCATGGAAAAAAAATACCTTCAGTAAGGACACATTTGAGTTCCATTTCTCTACCCCAGCCTGTCTCTTCTTGAATATGGACTTTGGTGCAGAAGGATATGTTTCCTACCCCAACAAACTGAATGAACTGTGTACTAGACTGACCAAGTCCCTGACTCTTACCAGTCAGAGCTGGGTGTAGGGGGTGAACTTTGCAGAACCCTAGATGTGGAGTCTCTTCATTAGGGAGATGGGGAAACTGATGATGGGAGCAGTTCTCACTCCTCCTGAAATCCACCCCCTTCTCTGGAAGCCTGGGAGCATGGGTGGATGTTTTATGGCACTCAGCCTGGGCTCCTGCGCCCTCTGGCACACCCTCTTGTGCCTGCCTGCCCCTCAGACCTGTCCCAGAGCCAAGCATGGGACCTCACTTAATCCCACTTATGTAATGTGCAATCCAACAGTTGGCCAAGAAGGAGGTGCCTGGAGCCACACCCAGGAGTGGGGGCTAAAGGCCCCAGTTGGGTCAGGGCAACAGATCAGGCTTGGCTTCTACCTGCAGTGGCCCCTACTCCTCCAGCCTCAACCAGACACCATGAGTGGCCGAGTCGGAGACCTGAGCCCCAAGCAGGCAGAGACCCTGGCCAAGGTGAGAGCCCCTTCTCTTGGCACCCCAGAGGGCTGAGGGGCAGAAGGAGAGGGTGGCCGGAACCCTGTCCCACTCTGTTGGCTTAGTTTGTCTCTGATATTTTGTCTTTACTGTCAACCTACCCAGGATCATGTTCCACAGCAGCCAGTGACATCAGTTCTGTCCAGGGCAGGGGTTTAGGGAAAAGTTCCACATCCAAGTAATAGTGTATGCGCTGGATCAAACTTGACTTCTCATGTGGAAGCCAGAACCAGAGAGGTTTTTCGACAGCTGCCCCCTCCCATCCCTCCCAGGTCCCTTTGGTGGGAACTAAAGGATGTTAATGGTCCGCCCTCTGACTCTGTTTGCCCTCCTTCTCTGATAAGTGACTCTGAAAGATGACCTGTGTGTAAGAGTGAGAGGGACAGAGCAGAATGTGTTGTCATCCCCACAGTCAATGGGGAAGAGAACATATAATCATTAACCATGCTTTTGTAGAAAATGGGATGAAAAAAGGCAGAAGCCTTGATGCCCTAAAAAAAAAGTAAAGAACTACAAATACACTCGTATGCCAAGCCACTTACCCACCGACCAACTCACTCATTTATCCTTTCTTTCATACATCCTCCCACACCACCCAGCCACCCGTCTATCCAATCCTCTTCTGTCTCTTCACCCACCAATATCTCCTCCCTCTACTCACCTCTCTCTCCCTCCTTCCATCCTTTGATTTCTCTTTCCTTCTTTTTCCATCCCCCCACCCACTCATCCATCCCCCCATTCATCCATCCCCCCATTCATCCATCCATTCTTCTTTCTATCCATTTACTCAGCATCTATCTTTGCTTTCATTCATCTACCCATCCAATGATCCATCTCTCATGCTATTCCATCTGCCCATCCATCCTTCCATCATAATGGGCCAGACTGCATGTGGAAGATAAGGGATGATGAAAACCATTATTGAGTTTGGGGGCCAAGGTTAAGTACAAAAACCACTTTAACCAGCATCTCCCTTCTCAGTTCCGAGAAAATGTGCAGGACGTGTTGCCCGCCCTGCCCAATCCTGATGACTATTTCCTTCTGCGCTGGCTCCGAGGTAAGGTCAGAGGTGGGGGAGATCAGGGTGAGGAGCAGCAAGAGGGGCCTGGTCCCAACTGCCCAGAACAACTCATTGCTCTCAGGATCCAATTACACTGTCTTGCTTCACATGTTCAGGTCCAGGAGAGGGGAGGGTACAGGGAAGGAAGGTCCTACATAAGCCCCCAGTGCCATGCATAGCTCCTCACAGCCTGGGGCCAGGACAAGCTGACTAGAAGTCAATCTCTCAAAAAAAAAAAAAAAAGAAGTCAGTCTCTCTCCCACCTCACACCTTCCTTCTATCTTCACACAGCTCGGAATTTTGACCTGCAGAAATCAGAGGCCATGCTCCGCAAGGTGAGACCTGTCCACTCCTGGAGATTTGAGAAGGGTTTTGTGGGGGGCAATCTAGACCTTGAGTCTCCATCTCCATCCTCTCCTTGGAAGTGCTGGGAGCCCAGTGGGGCCTTACCTCTCTTCTCCCTTTCAGTACATGGAGTTCCGGAAGTCCATGGACATTGACCACATCCTTGATTGGCAGCCCCCAGAGGTGAGCAAACACCCTCCCTCCCACACCCCAGTCTTTTACAGATATAGCATTCAAGCAGCCTCTAGATCACTGGAGAGCATGAGTGAAGGGTAACAAGCCCAAACGGCCTGTGGAACTGCCCGCAAGCTGACAAGCATTTCTCCTATAATAATTATGAATATTTCCTGGGTGTTTATGAGGTCCTGGCCTGAGTTAAAACTTTACCTGCATGAACTCATTTAGACATTACAACTCAGTGAGGTGGGTACAATTGTCCCCATTTTACAGATGCGGACACTGAGGTCCAGCAAAGGTTAAGCAGGCTACCCAAAGTCCCACAGGCCCAACATGGAGCTGGGATTTGAATTCATGAAACTGGCTTTTCATCACCACAGTTAGTTTGTGCCTCTGAGCCCTAACCCCTAGGGTCCTACTCAAACATCTTGTCTGTGTGGGAAAGAAATTTAGTCCACCAAGTTGTTGGAGAGAACAGTCCCACCGCTGGCATCTTAGTAAAGCAATGGGTATAGTTTCATTTGTAGAGTGTGAGCTCTGGGCCAGGCACTGTGCTTTACCTACATGATATTGAGGATTTTCCCTAAGAGAAGGACTATCCAAACCATTTTACAGAAGAGGAAGTGGAATGGGACTCAGAGAGGTAGTGTCACTTGTTCAAGGATGCACAACAAGGAAGCAGTAGTGTCTGTATTTGAACCAGGTATGTTGACCTTTCAGAATCCATGTTCTCCATCACTCAGCCCAACTTCTCTCAATGGAAAGGGACGTGGGAGATTTGGGAGACAGAATTAAGGAGCCCAGAGGCCTTCAGCCAGGCCCAGCTGAGACTTGGCTCTGCCATGTTCTCACTATGAGCAAGGCTTTCCCCTGAGGGCCCCCTAGTTTTCTCACCTGGACAATAGTGCCACCTTTCAGGGAAGGTGACATCTAAGTTTGTGTAGGCTTGAGCCACCCAGGTCAGCCTAGTCTGGGGGTCTCCGGGGAGGTGCATAATGCCAAGTTTTGTGTATCTTTCCATGCCCAGGTTATCCAGAAGTACATGCCTGGAGGCCTATGTGGCTATGACCGGGATGGCTGCCCTGTGTGGTATGATATCATTGGGCCACTTGACCCAAAGGGGCTGCTCTTCTCAGTCACCAAGCAGGATCTGCTAAAGACCAAGATGAGGGACTGCGAGCGCATCCTGCATGAGTGTGACCTGCAGACAGAGCGGGTGAGGCCTAGGCTGAGCAGGAGGGGAACTGGGGGCAGGTGAGGCTGTCAGGGGATGTGGTCCCAGGAACACACCTGGCTCTCTACTATCACAATCAGAGGACTCTGGGGTCAAGCCACAGCTCGGCTACTTCCTAGTTGTGTGGTCTTGGAGAGTCGTGTTCCTTACCTACACAACAAGAATAATAATAAATAACAGTTGTAAAGATTAAATGGGATAATGCAAATGTATGGCTCAACACACAGAGCCTCATGCATATTTCTCAAGATACTAGTTACTGTTATTCCTTCTGAGCTCTTTTGCCCCTGCTGTTCCTTCTGTTTGAATAACTTTACCCTCAGCATACCTCTACCTCCCATGCTTCCCTTGGCTCTCTCCCTTCTATCTTCCAGGTCCCAAACTTAGATGTCAGTTTCTCTTAGATGTCCCTGTCTCGGTTAGCGTGTGTCCCCACAACTCCTGTGCTATTTATTTGCAGCACTTATCTCAGGATTTATAGTGGCCTAGTTGCTCGCCAGTCTCTCCAAACAGATTGTGAACGCTTTGAGGACAAGAGTATTATATAGTATCCTCTCCATGACTGGCACAAAATAGGTGCTTAATAAATATTAATTGGACAGAGAGATGAATGGATGACTGAATTTTAGTATGAATGGATGGATGGGTGAATTGATGGATAAGTGGGTCAATTAATGGATGGATGAACAAATGAATGGATGGATGATAAATGGATAATGGATGGATAAGTAGGTGGATGTGTGGGTAAGTGCATTCACTGTTTTGTCCACTTGTTTATCTGAGGACAGAGTAAGGACTGGGAGAATTGCTGAGGGGTCAGGTACTAGGGTCACCATGTCCCAAATTCTGAGCCTGCACCCTGAACCTTGGGACTGGTCTTTGCTTTCATCCTTGCAGCTGGGGAAGAAGATTGAGACCATTGTGATGATATTTGACTGCGAGGGCCTGGGACTGAAGCACTTCTGGAAACCACTGGTGGAAGTGTACCAAGAGGTGAGGAGAAGGCCCCCTGGGTGACCCCTGCTTGCCTTAATGATGAGCTTGGTCTGCTGTGACCTTGTTGCTCACTCAGAGCCAGAATTTGGTAAAATATGGTTGACTTCCTGGGCTCCAGCGCTGCAACTCAGGACTCAAAGAGCTTTAATGTATTTCCCAAAAGACAGGCTCAGAGTCAATGCTGTACTGAGACCGTAGAGGCCACCTTCTGCCAACCCTTCCCAGCTCTGTTGTCCCTAGCTTTGTGACTCCAGCAAGTCACTTCTTGCCTTCATGCTTCAGATTCCTCACCTACAAAATGGGGATATTGATAGTCTGCATTTCAAAGGGATGTAGGGATATTCCAGCGGGTTGATACATAAAACGTGTATATAGTGCTTGGCAAATTGTGAATATTTAATAAACAATAGTCATCATTATTACTATACTACTATTACTATCAGATTTATTCTAAAAATGATTATTATGAGAGTGTGGTTGTAATAGTCTAAAGGGAGAAACTCTCCTCCAGAGGCCAGTGGAGGTGAAGGAAAGAAAGGAAACACTCCTTGGCCCTTTGGACACTCCACAGAGGAGAGTACAAAGATGATGAGGTAGAAGGTGAGATGTGGGTTCTGATGGGGTCTTTGGTTCCACAGTTCTTTGGCCTCCTTGAAGAGAATTACCCAGAGACCCTGAAGTTCATGCTCATTGTGAAAGGTATGTGGCAATTGACTTCAGTCTTTTGTGCCTCTGTTTCCTCATTTTGCCTTGGGAGCAATAAAAGTACCTGCTTCCCTGGTAGTGGTGAGGCAGGCTGGTTGTGTGTCTGCATGCTAATCCCTTAGAGTGCCTGGAACAATGGAAGTGTTCCATAAATAGCAATTTCTATGATTGGCCTTACTGCAAGAAGAGGCAGTTCCAACACTAGCCCTTCCAGGAATTCTCCCTCATTTCCCCCACCCACGTTGATCTCTCCACTCCCAAACTGCCTGTGGCACCAGCAGCTGGAGGGGCCGAATCTGGCATTTCTTGTCTGCTGACTTCTGGAGACCTCTTGTCGTCTTGTGTGTGTTAATCCTGCTTATTTCCTAACTTATCTGCTCCTTGAAGGCAGGACCTCTGATTTTCCACTTCTGTTGTATTCTTCACAGGCCTGGGAATATGTGGATGCTCAGTAGGTATTTTGTTGTTGAGCAGGCTGATGGATGGATGTTTAATGATTGGCTAGTTAATTGGTTGGTTGGTTGATTATTTACTCTGTTGGTTGTCTAGTTCATTGGCCAGTTGGTTGGCTGTCTAGTTGTTGATTGAATAGTTGGTCAGTTAGTTGATTAGTTGGTTTGTTGGATAGTTTTAGCTTGGTTGACTGATTGAGTGACCACCAGGCATTTTGGTTGGGTGCATAGGTGAGTAGTAAGGTGGTAGATGGATTAGTTGGCTGGCTGATTTGTCATTTGGCTGGATCCTGGATAGTTGGCTGGCTGCAGAAGGTAACTGGCTGGGTGGTTGGCTCATTGCTAAATAGGCTGATGGGTTTTCTGGTTGGCTGATTTGTTAATTGATTGGCTAGTTATTAGGTTGGCTGGCTGACTGATAGTCTGATTAGTGGGCTGATTAGAAGGTAAATTGATTGGCCATTTTGTTGGTTTGTTGATAATTTGGATGATTGGTTGGCTGGTTAGTTGGCTGCTTGTTGGCTGATTGGTTTGGCAGGTGCAGGGCCTTTTCTAATTCATGACTCCTCCATATTATTGGCTATGACTATTGTGGAGAGAGTGTCCCAATGGAATAATTTTTTTGTCCATTATCTTTTTTTGTATCTCTTCAGCCACCAAGCTATTCCCTGTGGGCTACAATCTCATGAAGCCCTTCCTGAGTGAAGACACTCGCAGAAAAATTGTAGTATTGGGAAGTAAGTAATTCCAGCTCTATCCTCTGAATTCTGTGCCACCTGGAGTCAGAAATTCCTCCTCAAAAATAAAGTGAAGTGTGTTTTACACTATAGAGTCTATCCAGTTATCTCTGCCTCTTTCCATGTCTTTGGTAACTGAAGCCTCACACCTTCCTCTTTATCAGTTTCAGTTTGGTTGTTAGTAAACCTCTAGGCTATGGGCCTCATTTTCCTTTCAACACTCATCACTTCAATGCTTCTAAAGGAAATTTAGGCTGAGGAGGATGAGGAAGAAGAGCAGGGAAAGGAGATGTGATTCAGAGAAGGAAGGATCAACAAGAAGGGACTGAATAAATAAATAATAATGCATCCATTTGATGATATTGGAAAACCATGAAAAATGATTTGATGTCAAGGGAAATGTCACTAAGATTTTAAAAAGCAGATGATAAAGTGATATGGATAGTATCATCTTCCTTGTAAAGACAAAAATATATTGCTAGAAAAAAATGCAACAAAACGTTGATTTGTGGATGGCAAGAAATCAAGTGGTTTTTAATTTTATTTTTTGTATTTTTCTGTTTCCTAAAGTCTTATAATAACATGTATTACTTTTATAAGTAGAAAAAATTATTATTTTAAAAAATGATATGGAAAGAGAATGGAAAAAGAGAAATAGTTCTTAAATTCAAGCCAATGACCATGAACTGAGAGGACAACTTCTCAAAAGCAGAATGGTCAGATCATCAAATAAGGAGATCTAAGGCTCTGGGGGTAGAAGTCCTTGCTTTCTTTTTTCTTTTTTAGGTTTTTAAAGTCCTTGCTTTCTTTTTTCTTTTTTTAGGTTTTTATTTATTTATTCATGAGAGACACAGAGAGAGAGGCAGAGACACAGGCAGAGGGAGAAAGTAGGCTCCCTGAGAGGAGCCCAATGTGGGACTTGATCCCAGGACCCTGGGATCATGCCCTGAGCTGAAGGCAGACGCTCAACCACTGAGCCACCCAGGTGTCCCAAAAATCCTTGCTTTCTTTCTCTTCTTGATATTTGAGCCTCAGCCTTTGCCCAGTTCCACAGAGAGAGGGAACAAGGTGGATCACAATGGAGCCTCCCAAATCCTGAAGCAGTGTGGGTAATGCCACACTCCAGGTCCAAGTCCAGGGCTCTATCCTACTTGGTGGTGCATAGAGCCCTGTCCATTTGTCCCTGGTGTGCCAGACACTGTGGTCTTTGCTTTTATCCCACTAGTGGCAGGGAATATCCCATGACCACAGTGGGGCTGAGGGTGGGCGGGGGAGATAGCCTGGCCACAGACTTGTTGCAAGACTCAGGATGCTTAGAGCTTTGCACAGGGCATGAAGAACAGTAATAAGCATTACAGCTTTGGTGATTAAGCAGCACAGAAGGGGAAGGTCCATTCAAAGGCCCAGGGCTATCCATCCTCCCCCAAGAGGTCTGTCTTGAGTATGCCACCTACATGCTGTATGGCCCCCAATAAGGTCCTTGACCTCATAGGGCTTTGAAGTCTCCTTGAGACAATTAGATGATTTTTACCTTCACTACTCATGACTGGAAGACCCTCAAAAATGTGCAAACCCCTATCAGCTAAGAGGGAACATGTTTCCATAGCAACACAATGCTAGAAGACACTTTCTGCAGCCCGATGGGAGGCTGGAGAATTGATCGTGGTAGCCTAGTCCCTGTAGGGCTTCTCCTGAAGCTCAGGGCCCCCTGGTGGGAATACAGGGCTGACAAGTCCCCTCCATGCCTGATAACAACCCTTCAACCCCTTTACCCACAGACAACTGGAAGGAAGGTTTGCTGAAACTTATCAGTCCCGAGGAACTGCCTGCTCATTTTGGGGGGGCTCTGACTGATCCAGATGGAAACCCCAAATGTTTAACTAAGGTATGAAGAACCCCAGATAGGGGAGGGGAAGGAGTGGAGCTGAATTCCTTTCTCACCCACTCATTTATTCCACATATGTCTATGGAGAGACCCCTGTGGGCCAGGTATTGAGCTAGAGAGCTCTAGCTCTCCTATCACCAGGCTCTCAGCAGCTATTCAAGCAAACAAGAAATGAGGAAAATTTGACTCAGGGGGATGATCTGTAAGGGGAAGTTTCCAGAGGAGGACTTGACCCAGGAGGGTCAGGAAAGGCTTCCTAGGGGGTGAGAGAGGATGGGATGAGCCAGATACTTCCAGAAGATGGTGAAAGCATATCAGGCAGGAGAAATAGCATGAAATAGCACAAGCAATGCAATGGCCAAAAGAGGGAAGCAAGCCCATTCTGTCCTATGTCTGCAGATCAACTATGGTGGGGAGATCCCCAAGTCCATGTATGTGCGGGACCAAGTGAAAACTCAGTATGAGCACTCAGTGCAGATCAGTCGTGGCTCCTCACACCAGGTGGAATATGAAATTCTGTTCCCAGGCTGTGTCCTCAGGTAAGGGCCAGGCTGCCAACCCATTTCTGGCTGGGGCTTAGACACCCAGGGTCCCAATCAGACTGAGCAGCACCTTGTCCCCCCTCCTGCCCACCCAGGTGGCAGTTCTCATCTGATGGTGCAGACATTGGCTTTGGGGTTTTCCTGAAGACCAAGATGGGGGAGCGGCAACGGGCTGGGGAGATGACAGAAGTACTCCCCAGTCAGCGCTACAATGCCCACATGGTGCCTGAGGATGGGAGCCTCACCTGCTCTGAAGCCGGTGTCTGTAAGTCTACCCTGGCTGGGCCATAGGTCTGGAAAGCTGGAGCCACCTGTCCCATTGTTTAGAGGAGGAAACAGAGGGGCAGTGACTCCCCCTACCCCAGGAACATACAGCCTAAATTAGCGTCATTCATTAACACAGTTGGTCATTCTTCAGGCTAAATTCTCAAGCATTTACTACACACCAAGAGCTAGCAACACACAGGTCTCAAAGAGGGTGAGAGCACTCAGGCCACAGGATGCAGGTAAGGGACAATAAGGCAGGTGCAACATTTCCCGGGAAAAAACCAGGGCTCTGAGAAGTAAATCAACTTTTCCAGAGCCACACAGCTGAGTGTGATGCCAGGGTCCCACTTCAGCCTCATGGTAGCTGCATAACCCTGGGCAAAGTCTTAACCAATCTGGCCCCTTGGTTTGCTCACCCGCAAAGCAGATGTACAACCTCTGCCTCTTGGGTGGTTGTGAGGAAGTAGATGGTATGCACTAGCCTCGCCTAGCACCTTACTTCATCCAAGGGGGCTGGGAGGCTTTTGACAATCCCAACTGCCCTGCCTCACCCCTATCAGGCAAACATTCAGGTGTGGAGACAATGGGAAGAAGGGGCCATTGTTCTCATTGCCAGTTGGTGCAACTAAAGCCAGGCTGGGCATGTGCCAAGAGGAGGTCAGTGTCTGTTTACAGACATGGCTCAAGGGTGACAGTTCCCATGAGAAAGGGGTGGTAGAAACTTGGCCCAGCTTAGCAAACATGGCAGGTAGAAACATAGCCCGTCCTCTCTCTGTGGCTGGGGCAGGGACATGGGGATTGTGAAGCCAAGCCTAACCATCCATATGTCCATCTGTCCCCCTAGATGTCCTGCGCTTTGACAACACCTATAGCTTTGTCCACGCCAAGAAGGTCAGCTTCACAGTGGAGGTGCTGCTCCCAGATGAGGGCATGCAAAAGTATGACAAGGAACTTACCCCTGTCTAGGCAGGTCCCTCACTTCTCAGAGACTCCTGACCCTCTCCTTTATCTATATCCTACCATCCCCTCTTCCCTCAGAAATTGATCATTAGTCCTCTTGACTCTGTGAGATTAGTGAGTAGAGAAAGAGCTGCTGCCTTGGGGAAGATTTATATGTTGTGGTCATACCAGGAAAGTTATGAGAGGCACAGTTTTGGAGGATGGCAAGATTGCATAAGAGGAAAAAGCAAGGTGAAAGCAAGAGATGAATGTCACTGAAAACCAAGAAACCAGAAAATGAATCCTTAGCTTTATGTTCTCACTTCTAAGGCATTTGTGTGTATTTTAATTTCTTCTCTATGACGTATAAGCCACTTGGGTTACAGACATATCTAAATTCTTTTGACTTCTACTCCTTATACAGTAGATGCTCAATGTATACTTGTGAAGTTGAATGAAGGTAATGAGCAGGTAATTCACAGGTGTGCAGGACAAGGAGCTTACCAGAGCAGATTCAGCACCTTGGACAGAGACAGGGCTGTGGAAGTTGTGGACTCTCCTGGAGACCCAGGTGATCCAGCCCCCAGGTTTCTGGGTGTGGCTGCCCCCTGGGGTAGGTAGGCGATGCCTGCATAAGGGTTTGTCTGGTTCAGGGCACACAGCTTTCCCAATCTATCACTCCCACCTGTATCCTCTTCCCTTGGAACTCACAGCTTATATTTTAAGCAATTAAAAAAACTTTACTGGAAGCACAGGAGGTCCTATCTAGTTCTGGTTGCTGCCTGGCAATAATAATTTTAAAAATTTCAGCTACCACCTGGTGAGTACTTTCTTGCTTACCACACATGGTTCCAAGTGCTTTATGAGTTTTGTTCATTTCACTCAAACCTTCCCCAGGGACCACTTATCATGGCCATCTTATGGGTAAGAAAACTAATGCTCAGAGAGGTGAAGTCACCCTCAACATCATATAGTTCTTAAGTGGCAGATTCAAGACCTAGGGTTTGTTTTTTCTTTACTCCAAAGACATTGTTTTTAATACCATAATATCACTTCCTGAGACCCTACTTTCATAAAAAAGGAGAGAAGGAATGACTTGTTCATCCTAGACCTTCCAGTAGAAGTGTCCTGGGTGTTATCCTCTCCAATCCCAGTTAATGCAAAGTGTGTGTAATGCCCATTGGGCAGCTGGGGCAATAGGAACCCCCAATGCTCAATTGCATGATGTTTGTCCAAGGAAATTCACCACAAAATGGGCTATAGCTTTGTTTCTAAGCCTAGCACCCTGTCCACTATTCACATGACCTCTGAGAAGCATGACCCCACAACACCCACCATGACCCACCATGGCTGAGGGAGAAGTCAGATCTCCAGGACATTCCTGCCAAGCCAGGGAAATGGAGACACTGGCTTGAGCCCTCGGACCTCTTTCCAAGAGATACCAAACTACACAGAAAACATGGGTAGGTGGGAACCAAAGGGATGGCTGGTTCTTGGGAAGGAGCTGCCCAGGACCAAGGGTGCTGGAGTGAGCCACAGTGGAAGGTCTGACCCTGAAACCAATCAAGCAAATGTTCAGCAGTGGCTAACACTTTCCATCTGCACTTATGGATGCAGGATTTCATCTCCATTTTATAGATGGGAAACTGAGCTCCCAAAGGCACTGGCCTGGGTTCCTTCAGCCCATGGGTGGCAGAAATACCACTGAAGTTAAGGCCACCTTCCCCCACCTGCTTACTCCCACCAAATTCACATTACTGTAGCAACTTGCCAGAACAAGTCTGTCGACTCTTAGAGGTGGGGAAGGTGAGGGAGGGAGGAAAGGAAGAGGAGGAGAAGGTTGCCAGATTTATGGGGGGAAATGCAATACTTAAAACATACTTAAAACTTATTGTTTATCTAAAATTAAAACCTGATGGGGCATCCCATATTCTATTTGGCCACCCTACAAATCAGGGAGAGGGCAATGGAAGAAGGGGAGAAAGGGAGGAGGGGGAATGGGCTCATTCTCTTGGAAGACTGTTGTAGCACCAGCAATGCCGGACTAGGGGTCCTTCGGAGTGGTTGGCCCAGCATTGGTGTGCAGGGTGGATGCACAGGGCAGTCTTACCCTTGCCCCCAAGGGAAAGGCTCTTGCATTGCAGCAAGGTCACAAGGAGGATGCTGGGGTGGACCCTTTGCACCCTTGAAGCTGAGGCGGCTGTGAGCACCACTGGATGCCTCATTTGCCTGACCTCCTCTACTGCTGCTTAGAGACCTCACTTTGAGTAGAAGGGTACTTGCTACCAGGAGACAGGGGCAACACCAGGAGCCTAGACTGGGGCTAGAGCCAAGAACCAAAAAGTGCCCCTCAGCATCTGTTCGATGCCCAGCCATGGCAAACCAGCTCCTACTCTATTCCACCATCAGTGAGAAATAGCCCTCCTCAGCTTCCAGCCTCACTCAGGGGCCACTTAGTTCCAGTTCTGAATGTCCAGGAGGTGGTGTAAAGAGAAGGGAAAAGACCTGACTTTGTCACTGTGGCTGATGGGCACCCCATTCCAGCAGTGGTCAGCAAGTAGTGTAGGGGCAGGAAGACCAAGGCCCACATGCCCCCTACCATGAAGGGTAATTGCATTTCAGTTCTAATGACCCAGAGATGACTGGGAATGAAAGGTCTCAGCTGCCCTTGGTGACTGCAGGCTATTCCCATAGAGGGATCAAATCTGACAGTTTGGGCCACTTACCATGCAGACCCCAGCCCAGAGCAAACCGTGGGCAGAGAACAAGCCAACTGGTGCTAAACGGGTTACTTTCCCTAGGAAGCCACTACTGCGGTGGCTTCTCCAGAGAGCCCACTTTCACATCATGCAGTTAAGAGGTCATATTTGTCCCTCAACACAGAGGAGTGCCAGAGAGAGTTAAGGGAAGACCAGAGCCCTAGAGTAATAGAAAACTTTATTGTACATAAATAAAAGAGTGGTTTGGGTATCTTCTGAAGGGCCTGTGCTCTCTCAGCTTTCCTTGATGGTAGCCTGGGACACTGTATCCATCTCCTCCCCAGAAGAAGTTCTCTCCATTGCCCTGGCCACTGGCTCTATCTCCTGGGTGTCCTGATCGACCAGGGCACCCCTCGGCATACTCCCCAGACAGCCAAGGGTATGGTGCAGCTGGAAGGCCTTTCCTACCTTCTTCAAGGTCAGCAGGAACAGGATCAACTGCAGAGTAACAGCTGAAGGCCAGCACCACTGCCATCAAGTCCTTTAGGACGGGGCTGGGGAGTGGCTCAAGACCACCCAGAGGTATGAGGCAGACCATGCAGGAGAGCTGGAGCAGACTTCAAGCCCAGAGTTAAAATATGAAAAGAAGGGGTGCCTGGGTGGCTCAATTGGTTAAGCATCTGCCTTCAGTTCAGGTCATGATCCCAGCATCCTGGGATGGAGCCCCATGTCAGGATCCCTGCTCAGTGGGGAGACTGCTTCTCCCTTCCCTCTGCCTCCCCCTCAGTTTGTGCATGCTCGCTCTCTCTCTCTCTCTCTCTCAAATAAATAAATAAACTTTTTTTAAAAGTAGGAAAAGAAAAACCAGGAACATGTTGGGTGAAGCAGGGTGTGGCTGGGGATAGGACAGGGCAGTGAGGTCAGGATCAAGGGCAAGAATCCATGACCCTGGATAACAGAGGGGAAGAGACCTTTCCAGGTCTAGGCTGCCTCCCAGCCCGGCACCTACCTTTACACCATGACATCGGCAGTTTCTTGAACCTCAGTAGCCCTACAACTACCATATGGGTGCTCCCCTTCACCTGGAAACTCTGTGGAAGGGAAGCTGTTAGCTCTGGCATCTTCTTCACCTCCCAGCCCCTGGCAGAGGCCCAGAGCCAGCTAACTCCTAACCAGGTGTGTGTTCAACTGCTAAATGGGGCCCGGGGCAGAGGGCAGTGAGGTGTCCCCTAACAGGGTTTAAAAGAAGGTAACTGAACAACACAAATATCCATCCCCAAGGTACTGATTCAATTCTAATACCTCCATCCCATGGATATACCATCATAAATGTCAAAGAGATATCTGACCTACAGAGCTGTAGAGTATTCTAGAAGGCTATAGAATACTATAAAACTTGGATCATTATATTCATGTGTATATACAACAAAAGCTGCCTGGATATGGCTGCACTAAAGATATTCACTAATGATGGTCTACATTGCAGGATTAGATCTTATTGAAGTATCTAAATTGCTTTAGATGGTTATATATTTGTTTATTGTATTTGCTTGGTAAAGGAGGCCAGAGGAATATATTAGTACACCCGTCATAGGTCCTGGCACCAAGAAAGCAAGCTTCCTCCTCAAAGCACCCATGGGACAGAAGAGGCATTTGCAGCTATCTGATGGCCCACAGCCTACCCACCCAAGCCACAATTTCTTCCTGGTTCCTGCCCCCTGACTCACCACCTTGTCTACCCTCCCAGGCCCAGGGCTGTACCCGTGCCAGATTCAGTAACATCCATTGACCACATAAGCCGTGGGCCCCCCAGCAGCCCCTCTAACCTGGTCCCACTCTGTCTTACCACAGAGCCAGCCTCTTTTGGGATGGGAACAGCCAAAGTCGCAGGAGTCACATACAGATTTCTCCCACTTATCATCTGCCAGCTGCCAAAGGTCCAGACAGAAAGATATGCTCAGTCAGAGGGGTAGGGGAGGACAGTCTGCCTGGGGCAGGAGACTGCTCTGAATCCTGATTCCAGCATGGCCATATTAGCTGGGTGACAGCAGGCCATCACTCAGCCTCTCTGGACCTTCCTCTCTCTGGTTTTCCTATATCAGGGAGAGGCCACCTACATTTCCAGGGTAAGGATTTCCCATGGTACAGATGAAACCTCCCAGTATAGGGCCAACTTTAACCATGATTCCATTTATTCTGGAATGGTCCTAGAAGCGTTTGCTACACCCATTTTACAGGTGGGATGATGGAGGCTCAGAGAAATGGTTGAACTTCCATTCTCTTACCCTGGTCTTACCTACCAAATGGGTGCACACATGTCCCACCAAGAGCAGAAGACTGAGGCCGGACACAGGATGGTACAGGTGGCCCACGTTCTGCGCTCCTCCTACTCAAAGCCTCGGGGTTCCACACTCCACCTCCTCCACACCTACACACACCAGCCCAAGACTCACCATGCAGTACCTGGAGGGTCACCTGCAGGGTTGTCGGGTCTGGGGTGAGTGCTTCTTGGGTGAGGGGGTCCTTTGAAGGGCTATGCAGAGTGCCTGACAGGCCAGCAGAAGCAGAACCATTCACCTCCTGCCTGAGGAGCATCCTAGCTGGGTGACTGCAGAGGAAGAGG